ATATGTTGCGGTTTTTGCAGCACTTGTACAAATAATAAAAATAGAAAGCACACTATATCACACAACTGAAAGTACATACAAGCCCACCTCTAAAAGGCATTTAGCACCATCACAAATTTCTGCAAAAGTCAGAGATTGTTCACGCTTACTATGCCCGACAATTTACACTATATCTACCTCAGGTATAGGAACACGTTTATCATTGCAATTCAGCCCCCCAAAACTTGCATCAACGCACAGAGAGAATCATGAGCTCTGTTGAGCACCTAGTTTTCTAGCACACAAATTATGAAATGCCAGTATAAAGACATAGACAAACCATTTTCCCACAAGTTTATGTCATGTCCTCAGTACTATCCTTGTGTACTTCCCATGCAGAAAAGCTGAACGAAATACTGACATGCCTAAGCTTCATAGATCGACAAAAATTGTGGAGCTCACTCAGACTCGCTCATGAAATATAGTTTGTGCTCAGGGATCACTCGGACTCACACGAACAAAATTCTTCCAGAGCTCGACTCACACTCACGAATATTTTCTTCACTTGCACTCAAGCTCATGAAAACATTTCTCACCCGGCCTCACGGCTTGATCTGAGTCTGACTGAGTGCACCGACCTATGCTCGGCTGTTGCTCTTAAATGACCGAGCCCTGTGCGTGCATCTCACGCCTGCATTATTCAAGGCTCCTGACCACATTTGGACATTGCAGGCAAACAATTGCAACACGTAAATCGATCAGTAGCAATGTGTCTGGTACGACATGCCTGCATGGCAAGAAAGCACTTGAACCTGAAGACTAAAACAAAAAGCTGCGTGCCTTACTTTTGTAAAGAGAAAGAAAGACAAGTTCGAAGACAGAATGAAAAGTAAAATACGATTATGCATATAAACAGCTGCTTCTTTGATTCGAGTGTTATCCGTGGCTGCCGGATTCAGCGCCTCACAACATACAAACACTATTATGCCAGAGCTGCAATGTGTGCTCAAGTAAAACAAAGAAAAAGAGAGAAGGCAGGACTTGTGATATGAACACGGTATAAAGCTGAAGAATGGCTGTAACCGAAAAAAACAAAAAGGGGGTACAGTGCTAGCACATTCCTTTCGAATTCTGGAGAGAATGTGGTTTGGCAGCTAAGTTCGCCTCTTGAGGACATAATAAGCAGTCTTTTTTTTTTTTCTTTCGACATGCTCAATACTTAACATTTTAAAAAATTACCCTGGTAAGACACTTCCTCGGCTTCGCTTCACAGCTTCTATTGTAACCTGAAGAATTTAAGAGTGCACAAGCAGGCCATGTGTTTGCTACTGCACTGTCTCCTAATTTATCGGCATTTGAGGAAGTAATGTTTTTGTGTGCATGTATTTTTGTTTTTATTTTAATTTTCATTCTCTCTCCAACTCCTATTTCCCCTACACATTACAGGGTACGAAACGGCACAGTTGGAAAAAACTTTTTTTTGCTTCCGTGCTTTTTTTTCCTTATTCTTACAATGTGTAAAAAAATTTTTGAAATAGTGCCTGGTGAGTCACGTCTTTTAGTTTATGCTGCTGGAAGTAGTGAACAACACACAAAGACAACAGCTTTCGATTTCAACTGTAGCAACGAAAGAAAGACCTGAAAAAAGTCTCAGCAATGACGATGGTGAATACACACAATATATAATAGCTGCCTAAACACTGCTTTCATTTGAAGCAGACCCTTTGTTCGTTATTGAAAAAGTAATACAAACGAAACCTGTTTCCGTCCGTTTGGATTTCTAAAAGTACTCATAAAAAATGAGGTGGGCATTGACAAATCAGCTGTGAAAGCATTTCAATGATTTACTACAAACGTTGTAGGCCCATGTGCTCAGATTGGGGGGACGTTAAAGAACCCCAGGTGGTCGAAATTTCCGGAGCCCTCCACTGCGGCGTTTCTCATAATCATATGATGGTTTTAGGACGTGAAACCCCACATATCAATCAATCAAAGAATGATTTTCTACAACCAAAAACTATGCTGGTTCACAGCTGCTCAAAATTGTCCAAGTAGACAGGCAATGCAGCAATGAAGGCCACAGATGCATACTACAACTCAATAACAATCATAAGGCAGTGAAACGCAATTCTTCGCCTGACCATGATGCAAGTTGGTTTTGAGCCAGGTAGGGAAGGACTATACAAGAGTCAGTACGCATAGCTCATCCATCCTCGACCTTTTTTGTGTGTCTATCAATTGTTGCCCACAATTCAGGACTGTGAAATTTGTGATGGTATCTCTGGCCACAAACTGGTAGTGCTGTCTTAAACTGTTTCGCCCACCACTATCAATCATCCCTCAAAATATGTTTGCAACTTTGTTAGAGCAAATGATGTTGGAGTACTGGAATAGTTAGAAGACTCCTATAAGTGTTTTTGTAAGTTCTATAAGCATAATCAGAGCCCAGATTATCTCTGGAAATATTTTTCCAATTTGGAAATGCCTTGTATTGAACGCTTTATACCAAAGCGTCTTAAGCAAACTAGTGAAAGAAGTTCTTGGATAACAAGGAAAAAAATTTACCTAAAAAGCCTATTGAATGAAAATGTAAGAACAATAAAATTATTCCTAGTGTACAAAACCAATCAGCTATTCAAAATCTCGTAAATAATTTTATTCAAAATCTCGAAAAGAATTTTAAATTATATTTAAAAAACCTAAACAAAGGTTTTTTGGCATCACGCTCCCAAAATTCCTAATAAACTTCGGGACTGCGAAATTTGTGATGGTATCTCTGATCACAAACTGGTAGTGCTGTCTTTGACTGTTTCACCCACTGCTGTCAATCATCCCTCAAAATATGTTTTCAACTTTGTTAGAGCAGATGATGTAGGGGTGCTGGAATTAGAAGACTCCTTTGAGTGTTTCTGTGAGTACTATAAGTATAATCACAGCCCAGATTATCTCTGGGAATACTTTTCCAATTTGGTAATGTCTTGTATATAACGCTTTATACCAAAGCAACTTAAGGAGACAAGCGAAAGAAGTCCTTGGATAACAAGAGAAATAGTTCACTTAAAAAGGCAATTGAAACGAACACGTAATAATAATAAAACTAATCCTGATGTACTAAACCAATCAGCCATTCGTAATCGTGAAAAGAATCTTAAAATACTTTTAAAAAAATCTAAACAAAGGTTTTTTTCCCATCACACTTCCAAACATCTTAAGGAAGGCACCTCATAAATTTTGGAGATACGTTAACCCATCAACGAAAGCTCGCTCAATGACTCGGGCTGTGCAGTTCTCCATGGCTGTGAGTTTTAATGAATACTTTGCTTCAGTGTTTACTGATGATGATGGCACTTTGCCGAACATTGTTTCGCCATTCAACAGGCCATCTATAACTGACTTTGTAATAATTGAACAGGGTGACTTCAACCTCTTGCTCAATTTGAACTTAAAAAAAAAGCCTTTGGCCCGATGCTATCCCGAATGAATTTCTGTACAGATAAGCTGAATGGAATTCCAAATATTTTGCATTAATTTTTAGGTCTTCCCTTCTCCAGTGTTCTTTACCCAAAAAGTGGAAAATAGCTAAAGTGATCCCTATTCCGAAAAGGGGTAGTTCTGACAATGTAACAAATTATTGGCCTGTTTCAATTATCAGAATTTGCTCAAAACTGCTTGAACCTATCATTTCGAAACATCTGTTAAACTATATGAGGGAGCATAATATTTTATCCAACTGCCAACATGGGTTTCGACAGGGTTTGTCTACAACATCCCAGTTCATTGAATTAGTCCATGACCTTTTGAAAAATATTAACTCACATGCGCAGACAAATATGATTTTCATGGACTTCGCAAAAGGTTTGGATAGGGTGTTTCAAAGTAAATTACTTAGAAAAATTGATGTTACGTTCCAAAATCTTATCACAAACTGGTTTTCATCCTATTTTCATTCTCGTGAGAAATTCGTGGAAATCAATGGCACTAAGTCTCCTGTTTCAGCTGTTAAGTCAGGAGTACCCCAAGGCAGTGTCCTGGGCCCATTTCTGTTTTCTTATCTATAAGTTACGTTCCAAATGAAATTGACGTTTCTATTAGGCTATTTGCAGACGATTGGATCATATACAATAAAGTCGACACAATAGGTGACCAGATAAAATTACTCGAAAATTTACAGAAAATAAAAAATGGTGTGATGAATGGAAAATGGTGCTGAACCCCCTGAAAACAGTAGTTATGACAGTCACTAGGAGGAAAATTACTTAAATTATACTTATTATAATGATAATCATGAACTAAAAAGAGTTCGAACAACATAAATACTTTGGCTTGAATTTTACAAGTGATTTTTGCTGGAATCATCACATAGATTATGTGTGCACAAAGGCCACTAGGGTCCTATAGAGTCTTAGGCACCATTTGCCGTTTGCTACACAAGAAACAAAATGTCAAGCTTACAAAACGCTTATTATACCCATAATTCAATACGCAAAAATTGTCTGGGATACATTCACGGTTACAAACATACTAAAAATTGAAAAAATTCAGCATTTAGCAGTCCGGTTTATATTTAATAAATATCAGTGGACAGATTCCCCATCTTAACTGTGTGTACTAGCGAAGCTAGGCGCGATTCAAGTTAGGATAAAACACGAAAGACTTAAGTATCTTTTTCTCATTATTAATGACCGTGTATAAGGTATGCTGAATATTTAGATATTTTTTTTACTGAAACTTCCAGACATCGCCTTTCAATGTTTATTCCTGCACCAGCTGTTTCCACCGATTGTTTCAAGTACAGCTTCTTCCCAAGAGCTATTGTAATAATAATGCTTTATGTGTCTCTGCATGCTCTAGTGCATTTAATGTTTGAGTTCTTGGTTGAGTTATTGGTTGCATTTTTTTCTTTTCACTTCATTCTTGTCCTCTAACTTGTTACTTCTGTATATATTTGTTAACTACGTTCTGCTTTAAGAGGGATCTCTGTGGTTTCATGTACTTCTTTTTCCACTCCTGTAATAGCCCAATGTAAGGGCTGACAGCCGTAAATAAAATAAAAATAAAAGTGGATGAGTTTGCAAGAGCTTGCACACAAAGATACCACACAATATCGCATTCCACTTGCTGCAAGCTAAAGCAAAATGCAGTAGAACAGGAAATGAAAACCACTTAAAATGCATTGATGGTTGTGCAGAACAGCCTCCAACTTGGTTTTATATTTGGGAGCTGCCCCACTGTGAGTGTGTTCAAGGAAACAAAAGCCCTGCTAAATGTGACATAGTTTCTCAATGCCTTCAAGGACCCCTGACAGCGAAAGTTTTGTTTGAAAGTTTTTAACGGTAATTTGTAGCTTTGCATCTGGTAATGCCAAAATTATATCGTAAATGCTCTATTGCATTGCATAATTATAGCTAGTGATGTTAATTAGGAACAATTTTGCAACAGTCTGAAACGCTTGCCAAAATGCCATAAGAAACTAGCGCCCCACTGCAAAGCTGCACTTCAGACTACGTGTGCTCAAGCTTCGGTGATACTGAATCACGCAGTCTTCAAATAGGGGTACCCCCAGGCGGAGAAGAATGAAACAATGTAGGTGCGTTGAGCGTGTCCCCCTCAGAAAATAAGAAAAGCATTCCTGGTGTAAGCAGCCTGGCAACAGAGCGAGAGAGGTGATGAACAATAGTTGTCTTTGGGTGCTAGTCGGGGTACTGTATGCACCCCACAAATGTTCAGGACCTCTCCAACGTCACAAGGGGATCCTCTGTCTACGTGACACCATAGAAAATGACTATTGTACCTGAATACTCGGAGGAGCATGCACTCTTACTTTAAAATAAAATTAAGATATCTTTTGGCAAGGCTCACCAGTAATAATCGGTCAGATGTGGCTCCAGCATACAGGACTAACAAACAACACAAACATCTCGAGTTTCCGAATTTGGTGTAAAAGGTCCTTTAGAGTTCACGTTAATAAGATTCTGTCACAGTTTGACTTAAGAAAAAGTAATGTGATAATGCTTAATGATAGCTGCATTAACACATTACAATACCAAAGCAAAAGTGCACAAACAGAAATTCAGGAGAATATCACTTGACATCCTCCCGCGAGTCTGTCAAAAGTGCTTTCGCGTACTGCTTCGCTTGTTTCACGAACAGCTCTACCGGTAGAGCCCCCCAAAGGTGTGCTTGTATATTCACCTCCAACCCTCGACAAGGCCTCCACCAGCAGGAACCAAACGCTTGACTTTGTGCTTTGTTACAACATCAAAGCAAAAATTAGCCACTCATTGGAGCAATTGCACATTGATCACTCATCTCAACATCCACTAAATGTCAACAGGTGAATCATGTCAGCAGACGCCTACACATCACGTACTGACCCTGCAAAAAGAATAACGTCCGGGTCGTGACTTCGAATGAAGTACATAAACGGGTGGTCGACCGAGAACGGAATACCCATGCTGGCACACCTTGCCATTGCCACCATTCCTGTAGCTGCTGCCGCCTCCGTTCCCTCCTCGTTGACTTCCACGAAGGCTTTGTGAATCGCCGCCGAAATCACGAGATCCCTTTGTCCGTCGATTCCCGAGAGATCAGCTGCATTGTCGGTGAACAAATCCTTCACACCCATGGCACTAAGCGTTCTCTTGAGGTCTATGCTGTACTCAATCTTGAAACGTGGAAGGCTGAGGTCAACTGTTGTTGAATAGAGTCCCTTTAAGACATCCGACAGTTTGGATGACGTGAGTGCTGCCTCCAACTTCGGAAGTCCGTCGATTTCATGGGGCAGAAGAATCACCATGGACATCTTGCCACCTTTGTATGGAATTTCGATGGCATTTGCGTTTAGGTCAGAGCATTCAGTGTTGATCTTAAAGTGTGACTGCTTGTACATCATGTGGACCTGTTTAGACAATTCCTTGGATGTGTAGAACTCCTGCAGGCTGGTCACCTTAGGATTGAACTGTGTCTTCCATAGGCCCTTGAAGTAAATGGCATTCACCAATATGAGAGCAGTGTCGCAACCTACAACACCACTGGCAAGAAGGTCTTTGATTTTAGACTTAGTGGTTTCCTCTACCCAGGCGTTAACTGCAAGTCTGGCCGCTTCGGCATTGTTCTTGAAATCAACGGGCACAACTGTGCTGTTATAAAACTTCTTAAGCATAGTAAGGTAGCTTTCCAAGACCTTGAATGTCTGTTCAGTGTACATTCGATTAGCAATGTCCAGTGTCACGTCAGGTGCACAAGTTGCGACCTTGGCAAAGAAGTCGGCGAAGTGGGCGTGGATCATGTCATCTTTTGTATGCAAGACATTGGTGATTTCAGCGGCTGTGTTCCCTTTGGCACCAGCGAGAGTCATTGACAGAGCAGCTGCAATGCTGAATGGAGATACGACAATGTTCTTTGTCTCACTGCTGCTTTCAGAAAGAAGTTGCTTGTACAGGTCCAGGGTAAAGGCAACGATTGCTGTGGTCAGGTCGGTTGACATGGCTGCAGTTGGTGTGGCTGTGGTGGGGTATCCTTCAATAATAAGAAATAAGATTTGCTCAGATTAGTCACAAGCAAAAACAATGCATGCACTGAAGTCAGCAAAACTCGACATTGCGGACACTTTGAAATTAACAATGTCAATATCGAGCGTGACAGAAAAAAGCTAGGAGAAATCAAACACATGAAAAGAATGGCAATTTAAGGCACTAATCAGACATAAGCTCGCGAAGTCAGAAGTTCAAAACCACACAGGGTCTTTTTCCTTTTTCTTTTCTTAATAGGGAAATTAGATTTTCAGACAATTAGGAAAAAAAATGTGAAGCGAGCGACGAGCCAACTGAAGTTGGGAACTTATAGGCGGTATGGTGGTTTTCTTCATTGCTAATAAATTGCCACAGACCATCTACTTAGAGATAGCGCAGAAGCCAAGCATGCCACGACGAAATTCCGTTCGAATAGAGATGTTGAACCATTCCCAATTGTATATATAGTTAAAATGCGTGAAAAAGAAATTGTTAAAAAACAAGAAGAAAAAAAAGAGGTCTGGGGTACGGCCTCACAGACGGCCATCTGCCGGTAATGCACTCCCTCCCCAGAGCAGGATTGGCCACCCTGGTGCTGTACCTGGCCACAACCTCCCATGAACACAGCAATCAACCCTTGGCTCTTAGTCCCCAGCAGCTGCAAAGCAACTGTTCAAGGTGGCGGTGAGACCTGTAACGCAGAGGAGGCTGCTAAGAATCCCTGGGTACGAACAGGCCGTCCATTGGCATCTGAACATGGCTACCTTCAACACTAGAACGCTATCTAGTGAGGCTAGTCTAGCTATGCTATTCGAGGAATTAGAGGGTGTTAAATGGGATGTAACAGGGGCCAGCGAAGTTAGGAGGACTTATGAGGCTTATACAGCGCTGAAGAATAGACACTTCCTATGCTACCGTGGATTAGTTGACAAAAAAAAAGTAGAAGTGAGGTTTCTTATACACGAAAATATCGCTGGCAACATAGAAGAATACTATAGCATCAGTGAGGGGGTGGCAAGTATTATAATTAAGTTTAACAAAAAGTACAAGATGAAGGTGGTACAGGCCTACACGCCTACATTGAGCCATGATGAACATTTGGTTGAACGCTTTTATGAAGACGTAGAGTCAGCCATTAATAAAGTAAAGACACAGTATACTATTCTTATGGGCAACTTTAATGCCAAAGTAGCCAAGAAACAGGCCGGAGACCATGCAGTGGGGGAATATGGCATTGGCTATAGAAATGCCAGAGGGGAGTTATTAGCAGAGTTCGCAGAACATAATAATTTACGGGTTATGAATACTTTCTTCAGAAAATGGGTTAACCGTAAGTGGGAAAACTAAAAATTACATTGACTTCATTCTGTGTGCACATTAAGACATTGTACAACATGTAGAAGTAGGTGGCAAGATTAGATGCAGCAACCATAGAATGGTAAAAGCTCGTATTCACATAGATTTAAAAAAGCAAAGACAAAAAATGATATACAAGAAGCCAATTAATAAACTGGCAGCAAGAAAAAAAAATACAGGAGTTCAGAGTTTTGCTTCAGAATCGATTTGAGGCACTAAATGGGAAAACCAACGTTAGCGTTGACACAATGACCAATCTTATTACTATCATCAAAGAGTGTGCGATTAAAGTTGGAGGTTCAGTCACCAGACGGGAAACTGGCAAACCATCTCAGGAGAGTAAAATCTTACAAAGAAACGGCAAACAATTAAAGCCTCAAATGCAACCGACAAAATAGAGCTAGTGGAGCTCTCGAAGTTAATCAGTAGACATAAAGTAACCCATATCAGGAGGTATAACATAGATAGAATTGAGCAGGCTGTAAAAAGCGGCAGAAGCCTCAAATCTGCGAAGGCAGACTTGTGCATAGGAAAAAATCGGATGTATGCATTGAGAAACAAGGAAGGCAATGTCATAACCAATATGGATAGAATAGTCAAGATGGCGGAGGAGTTCTACAGAGAGCTTTATAGAAGTCAAAAGAACCAGTATGGTATTGTGAGAAAGTATATTAGTCCAAGAGAATTTGACATCCTACCAGTAACGACAGGGGAGTAAGGAAAGCCTTGGAAGGAATGCAAATAGGCAAAGCCACTGGTGAGGATAAAGTAACAATGAACCTCCTGAAAGATGGCGGAGAAACCATGTTGGAGAAATCAGCCACCTTATATACAAAGTGTCTCTTGATGGGAAGAGTACAAGAGTCTTGGAAGAACGCCAACGTCATTTTAATTCATAAGAAAGTAAATGTCAAGGAATTGAAAAATTACAGGCCGATTCGTTTACTATCCGTTCTCTACAAACTATTTACAAAAATAATAGCTAATAGAATTAAGACGATATTAGAGTTCGATCAGCCAAAAAACCAAGCAGGATTTCGTACCGGCTACTCCACAATAGACCATATTTATACTATAAATCAGGTAATAGAGAAATGCGCTGAATACAACCAACCCCTATACATAGCTTTCATAGATTAGGAGAAGGCTTTTAACTCAGTCAAGACATCAGCAATCATAGGCACTACAAAACCAGGGCATCGAAGAACCCTACATAAACATACTGGAAGAAATCTACAGAGGATCCACAGCCACCATAGGTTTTGTGTAAAGAAAGCGAAAGAATCCCAATAAAGAAGGATGTAAAGTAGGGAGACCCGATCTCTTCAATGCGATTTACCGTGTGTTTACAAGAGGTATTCAGGACCCTAGACTTGGCTGACGATAGTTATAGTGCGAGAACAAAATGACAGCAAAGAGACAAGAAGGACACGACGCATTTGTCGTCGTTCTGTTCTCGCGCTATGACTATCGTCATATCATACAAACTAGCCCAAGCTACCACACTCCCAGACTGGGGAGAGTTAGGGATAAGAGTTATTGGAGAGTACCTTAGTAAGCTGTCATTCGCTGATGACATTGCCTTGATGAGTAACTCAGGGGACGAATTACAGTTCGAGATTACTGAACTGGACACGGAAAGCGGAAAAGTAGGTCTGAAAATTAATATGCACAAAACTAAAGTAATGTGCAACTATCTCGGCACAAAACAGCACTTTGTGATACGTGGAATGACGCCGGAAGTTGTAGAGGAGTATGTCTACTTAGGACAGGTAATAACGGCGGAGCCGAACCATGAGATTAAAGTAACTAAAAGAATAAGAATGGGGTGGAGCACATTTGGCAAGCACTCTCAAATCATGACTGGTAGATTGCCATTATCCCTCAATAGGAACGTATATAACAGCTGCATCTTGGCAGTACTTACCTACGGAGCAAAACCCTGGAGGATTAACAAAGAGGGTTCAGCTTAAATTGAGGATGACGCAACAAGCGATAGAAAGGAAATTGATAGGTGTAACCTTAACAGACAAGACGAAAGCAGAGTGGGTCAGGGAACAAAACGAAGTTAAGGATACCATACTTGAAATAAAAAAAAAAAAAAGAAATGGACATGGGCCGGACACGTAGCACGTAGGCAGGGTAACCGGCGGTCATTAAGGGTAACTGATTGGATTCCCAGAGAAGGCAAACGCACGAAGGGAAGACAAAGTTAGGTGGGCCGATGAGATTAAAAAGTTTGCGGGTATAACGTGGCAACAGACAGCACAAGACTGGGTTGATTGGCGGATCATGGGAGAGGCCTTTGCCCTGCAGTGGGCGTAGTCAGGCTGATGATGATGACTGAAATGAACAGCGAGGTAGCTATAGGATGACGCTGACTTTGAATCGGAGTAGCTGGCTGCACACATTACAAAACACATAAGTAATGGATGTAATGAGGTTCGCACTCGAGTTCATGCAAGAACTATATTTGGCAGCTGCATATATCTGCAAAGGTGTGTGTATGGATCTCTGAAACTTATCAAAAGAAAAACGGGATGTCTCATAACTTTTTGGCTCAGAAGTTTTACTATCACATGCTCTGTCACACACACGCAGACGCATGCGCGGGAGATTGACAGGTTTCCAGAGCCTGTATTTGCAAACACCTTTGTTACTGGCATATGCTGCACTCTCGACGGGCACAATTAGCACTGTCAAACTTGTGCACGATAAATCATGAGCTCGCGATGGTGCATCGCGCTAATAGTAGGAAAATTTTTGGAAGCCGACAGTGTATGCGCATTCCTTCAGTCAATATTTATCTCGCCGATCTGTACCCCAGTTCCGCCCGCGTCGGACAGAACACACTTGTGTTCACAGCAGAGCAAACGTAGTCGGCAAAAACCTCGAAACGAAGCACATCACACAATGCATTCTTATATCCATTAGAGTGCTACGTTTGTTCTAAAATGCTACTACATTGTCGGCGATGCGACATCTAGAACGCGATTATCGTCATGCAGATAGGGCACGCAGCGATATATCCTTATCGGTTCTCTTGTATTCAGCGCAGTGCGTAAGGGGGAGTCAAAAGTTTTCAGGCCACGCTGCCATAGATTTACATGGGATAGTGGCCTTTAAACTTGTGACCAGCCCTGCACACCCACAGTAATCGATGCTTGCCGACTCGTTTAGTGATCAGCTGAGCACTATGTTATACATCTTGGGATGTGAGGCAACGAAAACGCAATCTCGATCGTCGACATAAACTAATATACTTCATACACTTACGTTTTCAGGCAGTACTCTCCCAGAATGAAACGAGAATGTCCAATGTAGATAAAAAAAATTCAAAGGGAGGCGTTACCGGCGTGACTGGCTGGCGCCAACGCGTTGTTTACGTCGTGGCTCTGCTAAAGAGCTAGGGACATTTGGGAAATTGTGAGGAATTACGCCCCTCGAATTAAACTGCGTTCGCAGAGTAAACCATATTTTTCAGCTGCTGTAATTTTACATGATGATCAATTTAAGTGATGAAATAGCTAAATCTGAAATAGCCTAATTTCAGTTGTCCCTCGTTGCCGTGATTAAAATTTTTATAAGCGTTCGGTAGCACGGCAACGAGTTTTAATACTAACATTATTTATTAATAATAATAAATTCAAGCTATACATGCATACGTGCAGAAGGAAAATGGATGCTACGAAGAAACACTTTCATAAAACATTCTAGTTTCGGTTTCACCCGATTGCAAATAATTATTTTTAATGTCTACTTAGCGAGTGTGACATCAGAATTATTAACTTTTCAAAAACATTCTCATCAAGATTTTTTTTAATGTCCGACATATCAATGTATGAGATATCACAGCCACAATTTTAGAAAACCACATTCTACAGAAACCACATTCTACAGTTTTCTTTTATTTCATTTCTTCTAAATGCCCAACTTTGCAACTTTGTCTTATTGTTCTGGCCCAACCATTTTTATTTTTCTTGCGTTTTTCCTACGTATACACTATTACAGAAACAATATATATATATATATATATATATATATATATATATATATATATATATATATATATATATATATATATATATAGAGAGAGAGAGAGAGAGAGAGAGAGAGAGAGAGAGAAATCGTATGATTATGAGAGACGCCGTAGTGGAGGGATCCTAAAATTTCAACAACCTGGGGTCTTTTAAAGTTCACCCAAACAAAATGCACAGAATACTCAAAAGAGAATATGTACAACATAACAGCGTGAAGATATGTACAGCAAACACAGGAAAATGCTGAGGTAATGCACACTTAAGAACGAATACCACCACCAATAACACAAGCACGCACTGCACAGAGTACAACGAAGGATACGAATGTACGGCACACTACAATTAAACCAAGCAAGCCACATGAAAGTAAAGCACAGTGTAAAATATACCACCCATTATCCCCTTCCCCAAGAGAGGATGTCCGCATAGTCACTAATGTTTCAGTGTATGGCGCCGACGCCTGTAGTGGTGACATTTCAACGACAGGTGTCTCAAGGGCAACCGCCAACAACAGCCTGGAGGAGCGTGAGAATCGGCCCATGTACTCTCTTTACAGTGCACTTATAGCACAGTAAGGGCCGGAACAATCATGTGATGACATTTCGATGGGGCATGGCTCAGCGCCATCGATGCAGGCGCCGTGCAGAGAACAGGAACGGGCCCGACCGGCGCAGACGTGACCAGCCGAAGCACCTCTGCCGCACTCAGAACAGAGACCGCCTCTGGAATCCCGGCCGGCACACTTGGCGGATGCATCTCCGGCAGACCAAGAACAGAACCAGCATCCCGGAGACCACCATCAGCCGAAAGAAGCACAGCCGGTGTGGCAGCAGCAGCAGGCAGAACGGCAGTAGCAGGCACAAGCGAAGTATGGATGGCTGAGACGCAAATTGATAAAGTATCGACAGCAGCAGCAGACCTGACCGGAACAGCCGTCCTAGCAGTAGAAGTAATCCCACTTCAAGAAGGTAGAGCCATGGTATGCTCAACTGTTGGCAACACGGCAGGAGCAGGCACATCAGGAGCATGGCCAGCTGGGACGCTAACACGTGCAGTACAAGTGAGTATACACTCAGTCTGGCCCACAATCATCGCAGCACGCGTAGTCAAAGTATGGCACGACCTGTCAGTAGGTGCATCCCTTATGGATTGGCAGACGCTTCCGTAGTGTTCTCAACGTCCACATCGCAAACATGTCCAGCTGCTGGCAGGGCAAGTGGCAGCGTCAGCCCAGTGCTGCAACAAACCGCAGTGGAAGCACGCTCCCACGTGAGTCGGCGGCGACACCGGAGAACCGTAGTCGGACGCGCCAGTAACCGAGGTAGCACTTGCAGTCATCGAGCAGACGGCTCCAGCTTACAAAGCAGTTGGAGGAGGAGGAACGCTGCAAACGGTGGAAGGAAGGTCGCCGAGTCGCGTCTGACGCGACGAAACAGCGTCGCTTGACAGGGCATTCAGCTGCTGTAACACGCGGTTAACGCAGTCCTCTTCCATGGCGAGATATAAGGCCTTCTGTATGGAGAATTTTGCTCCCATCTTCAGAATTCTTCTCTGCAGATTCGGGGACGCGATCCCTTCTACAGTTTGGTCGAACGTCTGTATGTCGGTACTCACACCAAAATTGCAAACCGTTTAACCTCTAAAATGTATTGTACTGTGGTCCCGGCTGGTTGTTGCCGTTGCGTCTTGAATGAGGCATGCAGGCACATCGTATTGACTTGCTCGTCGAAAATCGCGTCCAACTGCTGGAGCGTTGCAGCATACGCGTCTTGCACGGCATCTGCCGTGACTGCATGGTCTACTGCACAGCAAGCAGGTAGGAGTTCAAACCTTCAACGTCCAGCGCGTTCAGTAGCAACGCCTTCGTGTGCTCCGACGTGGTGTCCCTGGCAGTGGCATCGATGTAATATTGAATAACCGGACACCACTGTCGCCATAGAATAGGAGGCCTACCGGGGCACTGCATGAACAGGGGCGAAGGTATTGGAGCGTACATCCTTGTGGAGGAAGGTAGCCGAACAGGAGGACCGAGTCAGACGCAGAGCCCAGTCTGTATGGTCTCGGCGGTCACGAACTGGCGATCCACAGAAATTTTGCATCGATGGGGCTGTATCCAGGGTGCTGAACACTCATATGCCCACCTTGGCCAGATCGTATGCCCGCCTTTGCCGGATGCATGCGGATGCAAGATCCTCGTCGCCAAAATGTAGTATCGTGCGGCAGACGTGCTGCACGAAAAACACAAAGCACGGCGCTGAAGCGCCGGCCGACACGAGGTACGAACTAGCCGGTAGCCAAGCAGGAACTCTCTTTTATATACACAAGCATCGCTATTTATACACATGTACAATGCCCCCTGAGGGTCAGAGAACCGGTTCCGAAATCGGAACCGTAACCGCCACATTACAGATGCCAGTACAATCTACCCAACTGTCATCATGCATATGGTTCATGTATACATACAAAGATTACCATTCAAATACGCCATGCTCCACGACGACATGACCGCTCTACAGAATTTATTCAAGTTGAACCATGACAAAAAGCCCTCGCCAATAGGCATGACTAAAGGGGAGCTGCGGGGATTCAACACCCCACCTCTATTCTAAAACTTTCGATTTTGCTTGCCTATGTATACATGTACACATGCCACAAGGTCTGATTAAACCCCCCTATCTGACTGTGCCCCTGGCGTGGCAATATGCAGAAGTCAAAGTGGCCGGTTTTGAGTGGTGTAGGAAAAGTCACCTGACCCGTGCGCACGCTGATCCTCTTCCTTTATTCCCACCTATACCCCGACAGTGGCCAAGAGTCGTCCTTTTTTGTAAAACGCCCCATTCATTCATCCATTATTATACACCTCTACCTCAAGACATTTTTGTAGATAGTGTTTTCATTTGCACGCAGACAAGGACGGTAAACGTAATCCGGTCATTCATGGATGTGGCTGTTGAAGCAGACCGGATTCACTACACTAATTGCAAGCTGTCAGAATGTCTGCACATTGTCATCTCATCATGTTCTTCTTCGTTACTGCAAATCATCAGAAGAAAGCTTCTTGTTGTGCCGGGTTCAAATAAATTTTTATATATGTATACTGAGTGCATGCACTAAACTCATGCATTACAATTCAGAGCTGTGCGAACCACTCATCTTCATCGCTGCATCCCTTGCAGCCTGGCACCAATGCATGCTCAATTCTTGAATGAAAGCTGCAATTGTACTTCCATATGAGAAGTGGTCCTGCAGCTACATATCCAGATAACTCTATAGTGAGGTGCAACAAACACTCTGGCCAGAATAGAAGCAGCTGTGTGTGCACGTGCCTGCATGCCTTCATTTTTATAATAGCTACGTATAGAAATGTACAAACAATTTGAGCTTCTCCCTGGGATATAACCGCCCCGCATGGATTAGGTATTTCTCAAGTACTACGGAAGCACTGTCATTAAAATCAAGCCGGCTCTATTTCAGAGATACCCAATTCCTTCAGGAATTAGGATGGGCATGCCAGACGGCTAAAAGCTAATTTAGTTTTCCACCTGATCTTCAATCGCAAGCTTTATGACCAAGTTGCCTCGCTCGCTCTTCAGCAATCTAGCACATTCTATGTTGAGGGGTCGGCCATGAATACAATATGTGTAAGACAAAACTAAATGCATGCCCCTGAAGTTCCTGTTCTTATTCACGTCTCGGCATTGAATGTACGGTTGGTAGCACTGCCCTGAAACGTTCGTTTCTGACAGAGCAGTCTGATTAGTCTCCGATTCTTAATGCATTTCTTACCACTGACAACTACTTTATAAATGTTTGAGTGAGTGAAAGCACACACATAGTGTGGTGCATTGACCTCCATTTAACGTGGTTCTTGAAGATCTATACTGCTCCTCCTTTTTCTTGATCCAAACAACTTTAACACTATGTCTCGACAGCATAGGCTAAAGGGACAAATGTCTTGATTCTATTTCTTGATCCAGAGTGCAGACACGGGGTAATTGACTTTTCTGCTCAAAGCAACAGTCAGTTAAAAGTACAGAAACATAAGAAATGAATTTTTTTCACAGCTATCTTTAGATCACGGCAGATGAACTGCAAAGAAAAGCATTTCTGGAAGCCCAAGAATAGAGAGTGCACTAGCTAAAGAATGATTTAGCATAGTTTCTTGTGTAATCTGTTTTTTCAATTGTACGGTCGAATCCGGTGCGACGAAGCAATCAGCAAACAAGTTTTATTTCGCAGTAAATAACAACAGCTGAGTGCCGTCAACTTTATATAACAGTCATCAAGCATACGTCCGAAAGTATAAAAATGGCATAAAACCCTGGAGAGCATC